TTGAGTTGGTGTCATTATATTTGGATTGTTTGGTCTTTCTCTCATGGCGTTTGTGTTTGTTCAGCCGCGCACAACAAGTAGTATCAGAGCTCGGGCTATGCTTGGGCAATTTGGAGGAGTAGATCACCTTGGAAGTTCGTCTAGAACTTCGTTTGGTGATAAAGAATTATGGCCGGGAAAGAAGGAGTTGTGGAGGGTACTTCAGGTGTGAAGACCGTCCAAAGTTTGAATATCCACTCTATGAAGATAGACGTGGAGAAGTTTAATGGCACTAACAATTTTGGACTTTGGCGATGCAAAGTCTTGGATACGCTAAACGCGTAAAATTTAGAGGATAATTTGGAGTTGGATGGCAAGTCAGATGATATTGATGAGAATGTTTGTAAAAAGATGAATAGAACGGCGTATGGTGTGATTAGATCTTGTTTGCCACAAGATTTGAAGTATGATGTGATCAATGAGACTTCAGCTAAGAAGATTTGGGAGATCCTTGAGAGCAAGTATTTGACCAAGAGTGTGGAGAATCGTTTGTATTTGAAGAGAAGACTTTATCGCTTCCAATTGAAGAAAGGAACCTCCATTGGTGATCACATGAACCACTACACGAAGCTTCTTACAGATTTGGCGAATGTAGATGTGATGATTGAAGATGATGACAAGACGTTGTTATTGTTGAGTTCCTTGCCCGACGATGAATATGAGACATTTGTCCTTACTCTTGTTAATGGGAAGATATCTCTTTCGTATAGTGAGGTCACCACTGTACTTGTGAATTATCAGCTTCGAAAGAAAAATAAGGAGACTTTGAACGAGACAGTAGCGGAGGCATTGGTCGCAAGAGGGAAGAATCCAAACCGAAATAATTGGAAGTCACAGTCTAGAGTAGGGCATTCTGCAGTTGGAAAAGATCAGTGTGCTTGTGCAATGAGATTGGTCATTGGAAGAAAAATTGTCCAAAGCTCGATGAATGGATGAAGAATAAGCAGAAGGGAAAAGGGAAGCAACCATCATCAGAAGAGCTCGATGAATGGATGAAGAATAAGCAGAAGGGAAAAGGGAAGCAACCATCATCAGAAGCAAACATCGTTATATCGGAAGCAACCATCATCAGAAGCAAACATCGTTATATCGGATGGTAATATTTCTGATTCTTCTATTTATTCGATTTTTATCAGTCCTACAAGTAGCTATTCGGAGGAATCCGAGTGGATGTTGGATAGTGATGCGGCCTATCATGTATGTCCTAGAAGGGAATGGTTCTCTAGTTTTGAGAAACTAGATAGTGGTGTGGTGTACATGGGTGACAACCGTGCATGTCAGATCCTTGGGATAGGAAGAATTCGTATCAAGATGTTTGACGGGACAATTAAAGAGTTACATGGTGTGAGATATGTTCCTTCCTTGAGGAAAAACTTGATCTTAATTGGAGCTTTGGTTGGAGAGCGTTTGAAGGTTCGTGTTGAGGAAAAGGTTCTCAAAATCGTGGAAGACTTTTTTATTGTGATGAAGGGCGTCAGGAGGAATAACATGTACTATTTGATTAGAAGTTTGGTGACAGGTGGAGAGCTGACGACTTCTGTTGATTTGACTAGACTGCGACATTTGGGGCTTTGTCATTCCAATATTGATTTGGAGATTGGTGCATCAACCTGCAACTTGAAATCCAGTGAACACTTTGATGTGAACGAGAAGACCGTGGTAAAGTTTGGCACCTCTATTCACCGCACGGAGGGTCTTTCAGATGGAGTTCACATGAATGTTTGGGGGCCTTCTAAAGAGGCATCGTTGGGAGGAAATAGATGTTTGGTTTCCTTTGTTGGTGACTGCTCTAGGCGTGTTTGGGTTGCAACCAAATCCCCTTTGGATAAAGTCCTAGTAGTCTCCAACAGATTAAAGAAGTGTGAGGTTGGTAAAAAGATGAAGGTACTTCATTTTGATTTTCATGGGAGGTACAAGAGGGACCTGTTTCTGCATTTGAGCCGAGCTCACGACATTTTGAGACACTTTGGTGGAAAGAAAATCTTGGGACAACGAGATGAGATGGCAGATTTGGTAAGTTGTTCCTTGCTGGAGGAGGATTGACGTTTGATGTCGAGCATTAATTCTGGTGTTAAGGCTTCGGCATATTTGGATCATCTTGGACATAGGTTGTCGACTACTACAATTAGAGGTAAAACTTCATTGGATGTTTGGTCTGGTAATGTCACTTTGGTTGAGGCTTCGATGAGGGAGCTAATTGACTCTCAGCAGGTGGAGAGTTTTGGACAGACCTTAGATGTATCGCAGCGGGTGGAGAGTGATGCCACTCTATATTAGGTGGAGATTACTCCACATACTCCAGATCATACTGCATCGTTTGAGATTCCAGTTAAGGTGACACAGTTAGGGGATCATTTGGATTTGGGTGCATATGATGAGTTAGTTGATTCGAATGCAGCTGGTGGATATGATTTGGATACAGCCATTGGTTCACCTCAGGTAGGGGAGTTTGATTTGTTTTACTTTGGGGCCATTTGGAGAGCTATCAGCCACATATTTGTTGATGAAGAGTTAAGAACTTTTTCTATTTGATTGAGGGCATTTTGGAGGTCATTTGGGGAACTACGTGAATGTTTGATTCCTTTGGCAAGAAGATACGTAAACAGTCAGTTTTGATGCAGCCGATTTGATGGGTAGATCCGACGTTTGGAGAGTTTGTTCACATTCTCATTTGGGTCTTGACTTGTTATGGATGGAGTCCGTTGTCGTGATTTTGTTTCACTTCGTACTGGATGTAACAAGTGAGACATTTGATTTGGTTGGTGTCGGCTCACTTTTTTAGAAAAACTTCACCGATGTGGAGAATTGTAGAACTGGAGGCAAAGGCGACGAAGCTCAGGAAAATTAAAGCAGAAAACGTTTTGGATGATGCACGGTCGACTACGAGTAGAGTTGCGGTCGACCGCGAACGTGCACGCAGCCTGAAAAAGTCTCTGGACTTTTTACGGTCGACTGCGAGTGGCGCGACGGTCGACCGCGACACCCTATAGTACAATTTTGGTTTCTATCGTTTTCACGGTCGACCGCGACTGTCGCGACGGTCGACCGCGATGCGGTTTTGGGCCTGGGCTTGGTTTCCTGTTCTGATTGGGTTTGTTGTTTGATATAAATAGCAACCACGTTTTTTAGGGTTTTATATTGATTGATTGGGTAGCATGAAGGTGATTTTGAGCACAGAAAAGAGAGATCTTTCTGAGCAATTGTTTGAGGGTTTAATTTTGAGAGATTTGATAAATTTGTTTGAGAAGTTAGTTGAGTGATCTTGTAATCTCTACTTTGTACTCTCTTTCTCTATAGTGGAAACTCATCCCTTCTTGTGATCTTGTAATCTCTACTTTGTACTCTCTTTCTCTATAGTGGAAACTCATCCCTTCTTGCCCCGTGGATGTAGGCAATTTTCTCTACTTTGTACTCTCTTTCTCTATAGTGGAAACTCATCCCTTCTTGCCCCGTGGATGTAGGCAATTTGCCAAACCACGTTAAACTTTTATGTTTGAGTTGGTATCGTTATATTTGGATTGTTTGGTCTTTCTCTCACAGCGTTTGTGTTTGTTCCGCCGCGCACAACATAGCGTTTGTTTCGAAAAAATAATAATAATAAATAAATAAATAATAAAACTTGACATTAGGTAAAAAATATGAACTTTTGGGATTTGCCAAATCCTACAATTTGGAGAGGACTTGTCAAATGATAAAGATTTAAAGTTTTGGCATTTAAGTATCCATACAATTTGTACTTTCCTTTATTTTTGGTTTTGAACCAAATAAGAACTTGTAAATTCTAGGATTTGCTTTCCTCTAATCATGTTGAACCAAACAATAGACTAGGAATTCCAAAATATATATAAAAACCCAAGGGTTTGAAATTCTTGATGAGAAATTCCTATAATTTTAGGATTTGAACCAAACAGTTGCACCACATCTTCTTCTCACAACATGGCTGTGAAATGTATATACCAGTTAAGCTAAGGACAAAAGTTCTTCCAGAACTCAACAAAAAGATTTGCATAATATAAGCAGGATTCAACTAACCTCAACCGATATATGTTCACAGATTCAGAGACATGTAGACAATTTATGCATGTCCTCTCCAATTGAAACTAATTTCTTTTGGACAGCCCCACAAAGATAATTTCTAAAAGACGTACTGCTGGATTTCTACAGGGAAGAAGACCAAATCCTAATGGCTGGGGAAGCATGCGCACAAGCTACAGGTTGGTATATTAAGCATTGAAAGTGTTTCACGACAGTCAAACTATCTAAGATACCAATGAAAATAATGAATAGTCCTCGTGCACTTTGATTGCCCCAACCGCACCCCCCGCCCCCCCCCAAAAAAAAAAAAAAAAACACCAGTTATCCAGTAGGCATGATATAACAGATAGGTTGGCCTTACAAAATCAATATATTTACCCTAAAAAGTTCAAAGAGTAAAAGACCATCTTAGGAACACTTTGTGGATAAGCGCTATTTTAACACAGAAGGGATAGTCACCTCAGGCTGAATAACTGCTTAACGATGTCTTCGGTTAATTGCAGAAGTCGAAAGAGATCATCGAACAAGATTGCACTCATAACCAAGTTCTTTCTATTACTCAAAAAAACCCAGTTTTTCACAGCAAAAGCATCTGTTTCCCTGTTCAATTTGTAGAGTACCCAGCGGCCAAAACAATGTATAGGTTCAGGTCATATGATATCACAACTTAAATTAGAAGTATAACCATCTCTAATGAACATTTCCTATAGCTATTGAACTCAATAGCTAACACATCTCATATTATAAATCCACAGAGCATGTAAATCCATATCTGAATCCTGTTCTTTTAACCCCATCCCTTCCCCCCCCCCCCCAAAAAAAAAAACAAAAAAAGGTTACTGACAAATAGATCTGGGATAGTTTCGCTGATTATATCTCCACATCAGAGAGACATTGACATATTATCTGAGCCACAAAGGCGCCCCTTCGTGTCTCCTGATTACTGATGTATGAGACCAAGTGAGAGTGAAAAGTTTCAAAGACTCCCATGTCAATAATTAACTCGCTCCTGTAAAATTGAATAGACAACAAGAATAAATATCCAGTAGCAAATTTATCCTGCTAAATGATACTTGTCTCTGAAAACAGTATAAATAGTCATTAACAATCATTTATATTCATGAAAGCATGGGTAACACTAAGTTCCGTGTGCATAGCATTTAGAAACAGTATAAATAGTCATTAACAATCATTTATATACCACACAGAGCAAAATGTGAACATGTGAACAACATTGTAACACTACGTAACATGCATAGCATAGCATGCTAACAAGTTATATGATTTTCTGTAGAAAACCTTCTATAGGATTTGTTTTCTTTGAAGACCGCCATCATATCTCAAAGCAAATTTAGGAAATCCAACCACAAAGGAAAACCCAATCTTACAAGAAACCACAAGTCATAATAACCAACTGAATAGACTTGCAAAAATAAACTCTTCAATACGAACTGTCTACCAATGAAACAGATAGAGGTACCCATTAGTGTGATGACAATTCTCAACCCAATAAGTAGAAAGAAAGTGGAGTCAAGAAGAATCCAGGTTTTAGATGTCACGAAAAGCAACCCAGTCAATTTGTTTAGACATGCTTGCCTAGTACACAGATTTATCAGAGAAAATTTATATCCTACAACCTCAACTAACCCTAGTCGATCAGTCAAGCTTGCGCAAGCTCCAAATTTCATACCAAATCCAAATGTTCTCTTATCCAGGATTTAACAGAGATGGAATGTTTCGTTTTCTCTCTATTTTTCTGTTAATCTCATTTTATTAGTTAATTGCATGAGTATTCCATTTCTAAACTCTTATTATATATTCACTGCTTAGATTATATTTGTTAGTTGAGAGTAATTGAGCATGTGACTGTTAAAATTTGATATTGATTGTAGAACTTGTGCATGATAATGAATATTGCAATTAAATTGATTGAGATGGGAATTATTCATAATTATTGATGCAAACTTTGTTAAATCCATCTGTCACACTAGTTGCTTTGAATTTAATTCCTGCCAAAGATCATGAAATTTGGTGAAACGATGTGTTATTTGAAGTAAATCGCTAATTCTGATAGACCTCATGTCCCGTTTCACATCAGTTAGTGCCTACAGCCAAAAGCAAGGTGTAACAGGAAAAGAGGGGGGAAAAGAAATACCTCATCAGAACTGTGTCTGCTCAGTTCTTTGCTTGTTGCTGAATCTGCTGAAGAAGTGCTGCAGCCAGCTGCAAGGTAGCCTGAAGGCGCTTCTGTGGATCTGCCTCCGTCTCTTCCCCGTTGTTGTTCGATGCTTGCTGGTTACTTTGCTGAACTGGATTCTCGATGGGCTGTTGCATTGTGGAAGCACTCGGTACCTGCTTCTGTAACTGTGGTAATTGGCTAACTTGTTGACCCATTGTTGGCTGAGGGGCGCGAGGAAACAATTGGATTTGAGGCAAAGAAGTGTGGCTTTGGGAGCTAGGGACTTGAGGCAGGTTAAGTTGTCCATTATCTCCTGATTGTAAATTTCCCGATTGCTTAACTCGTGGATTTGAAGGCAGGTTGGATTGTCTGTAGTCTCCTGATTGTGAACTAGTATTTTCTGATTGCTTCTGTTGTCCAAGAATCACAGCAAGGTGCGCGAGTTGCTCAGGGTGAAGAGGAAGTTGCATTGGTGAGGTAACCTGCGGTTTAACTTCCTGCTGTTGCTGTGGAATCTTGCTGAGAGCTAATAGAACATTATTAGAAGCTTCAGGTGTGTAATTTCTAGAGGATGTTTCTTGTGAGGCCTTAGGATTTAGAGGTGGATATCCTTCAGCTAGAGGAGCAGTACTAGGAGGTGGCAAAAAAGCTCCAGTGGTAGTATTTGGAAGAGGTGGATTATTCGACCAGTTCGATATGAATGGTGGATTCTGGTGCTGGATCTGATCATGTCTGTTCTCTTTATGAAGATTATTGCCTGGTTTTTGTGGTGGCGGGAAAGAAGACAGAGGAGCTGGACGTCCAGATGATGAACCTATAAAGCTCTGGTGCTGAGAGAATGGCCTAAATTCAGGTGAACTTGGCTTTGGAAATGAAGCATCTCCGTGAAAATTAGTTCTTTCATTTGGATGGGGCTTGGTGGCTGGAGGTCTAGATTCCATAGCTTCCATTTGATTGTTGAGGGAGCTGAAGCTAGAACTAGGTTGCTGAAACCTTAGAATAACACCAGAGATGCTAACTTTCCCTGGAACTTTCAGCACTTGTTCAGAAAAATCTGACGGTGGTACGAGGAATAAGCTAACTTTCTCTTCAAGTTTAGCAACTGCAGCCCGCTGCTTCTCCCCGAGAAAATGCATAAATTCATTGTAAAAACTCATATCAGCATCTGTTGCTGGGACAAAGAAAACCACCCACGAACATGCTGCTTGATAGTAATGTTTGGCAAGCATATCAAGACCTGTCCTTGCGGTGCAATTTAGCGTCTCTGGCCTGCAATGTGGTAATTAACTAAGGTCCATTTTTCTTTTAAAAATTTATGACAAAAGAAAAGTAGAAAGAAATGTTTTCTTTATTTTGACATCAAAATGTCCTTTTTACTAAGCCAATTATCTCATATTCATGTTTCTTGAATTTGCTAGGAAATTCAACGAATGCCGAAAAATTCATCATTCTTACTTTCCACAAGCTATTAGCACTAAATGGGGAGAAAACATATCTGCCATATACTTTCCAATGAACCACATAGCTTAACTGTAGTCTTTAAGCAGAGATGCCCTTGCCCAAGAAAACAATACTATTCCCACGAAAAGCATCTATTTTACCAACAAATCCTAATAAATTAATAACTATATGGAAACTAGCTAGAATGATCTTGTTAACTTTCCAGCAAAATTTGGATATCAAAGGAACAACTGCATGCAAGGGATCTCACAACTCACAAGAAAAACACAGAAGGTAAACATTTAGTGAACTTACAGCATAAAATCCAACACTTTTCCAACAGGAAAGCAACGAGCTCGACAAATCGCATTCCCACCCTTTGCTATTGTTCCCTCCCACTTCCACTCTTTACTAAGCGAAGGTTGAGGAGGTTCTGAACCGAATTTTTGCAGTGACAAGCCAGGAGCAGCACTAGGACCATCAAAATTTCGCCATGAATCATTACTTTCAATGAATGGACGAGCTATATTTCTGGAGGGATCGGGAGCCACTTTAGAACCAAAGGTCATCAAGTCAAAACTTTTACCGTAAGTAGGCTGATCAGCTAAGCCAGGGTATAACTTGGGAAGGCCAGAGCGTTTTCCTTGTTCAAAGTCCGAGAATGGATATTCAGGAAGTTCATTATCAGGAGACGGGTCTGTCTTTAGCTTTTTTGCTAAAGAAGAAAAGGAGCCACTCTCCGGGCTCCAAGGATCAAGAGGTGGAGCTTTCCGAGCCCTTTCAAAAGATAAATCAAGCCATGGTGCTGGCTTATCTGCTGCAGGACTATCTCTATGATGTTCATAAGGATCCTCCAATGCCCTTTCAGGACCTAATTCTTGAAGTCTTCCATGTTCAAAGGCAACATCACCAAAGTTGGATCCTGGTACCGCACTATTAGTTCGAATAGAGCTATTTCTATCAAAACTAACTGTGCTTGGATCCCTAGCAATGTGGTCCAAATTCGACATAAATCCTGGGGATGCCATGTGAAATTCTCCTCTGAATGGACTCTCATAACTTCTCTCTCGTTGAAATCTTTCACGAGTACCTTGACCACTCATATCAGGATGAAAACTAGACCTGACAAGCGAGGAGTAAGGATCACTCCCTTGTCCCCTTTCTTGCTCAGCTGAACTATCGCCCCGGGCAAAGCATATGTTAACTCGAGGGTTATTGAAAAGCTTTCCTTGAAGAGCTTCTTTAGCCCTGCATGCTGCCAGTATGGTCTTAAATCGAACAAAAGCATAGGTCCGACCAGGATATGCAGAAATCTTCTCGATTTCCCCAAAGGGCGAAAAAGCCCTTCTCAGAACCATTTCATCAACATTCATGAAGGAAGGGAATCCTATCCATAACATTTCATTTGGCTCTGCACTCTTATTATTCTTGGGCTTATCATAAGCTTTTTCAAGACTTGGACGCTGTGGTCTCAAGTCTCTGTGTTTAAGTAAGTCTCCCTGTTCCATTGTCTGTCTGACATCATCATAAAGCAACTGTTTCTCACCCTGAGTTGACACTGAAGCCCCATCCTGTAATTCAAATACTTTGCCAAATCAATCAGCATAGCTTATGAGAATAATCTAAAATGATATACCAGGTTCTTTAGAAAATTACATAAAAAACAGAAGAATAAGCACCTAAAATATTTTAACAATATAAAGAAAGAAATTAACAAGCACATCTAACAAATCTCAAATATCCCATACACGTTACTAGGATAAGAAATACCGCTTCAATGGAGAGTATACAATAACAAAGGGGGGAAACTCAGTAGGTTTTCACACCACATGCAGTGATACTTCAAAAAATATATATCAGTTCAACCGTCAGATTAGATCTTGTAATATTCACAAACAAAGAAAAACTGGAAAAGGTAAAAAAGGAAACGTCAAGTACAGATGACATGTTGTCAACCATCATATCATTTACATCATTGTGTATATACAAGGAAGTCACTAAATAAGTTCTCGAGACAACTTGCCGGGGCGTGAAAACAATCAAACAACACTATAGTTAAGAATCTAGTATGCATGCACAAGACTACAACAAATCAAGAAAACCCAAATTAAATATACTGAAAATGCTGCACAACTTTCGTTTTACTCCAACACAGTGTTTTTAAAGGCGCGCGCCTCATTGCGCCTCATGCGCCTTATGATGCGGGGCGGTGGCGAAGCGCCCCACACCTGATGCAGCAACGCTTTTTGCGCCTCGCGTACGTCTGTACTTTGTGTAGGATGCATGTAGTACATTTCCTCATATAGTTTTGTTTGTTAACATTTCAATCAAATCTTTATACTTGATATTCCATATCCCAAAAAGCAAAATAAATCCATTGGGCTTTTTTAATAACCTTCAATTGAGGACCATTACTAATCCTTAGTTTGGATATAAGTCTTGATTTAACATTTGATTTGAAAATTTATGAAATTTGCTACTATGTTGGGTGTTAGCATTAGAAATTAAGGCAATATATTGTGATTTTGTAGCAAAATATTATTTATCATGATATTTTTCATGTAAATTCTAAAAACATGTTCTTTCGCGCTTGATTACATATATTGAAATATTATATGTGTGGTTTGCGCCTCGCATCACTCGGGCGCGCGCATCGCGTTACGCCTTGCGCATGTGCGCGTAAAGATGCTTTGCGCCCCGCATTGCGCCTCGCGCATTGAAAACACTGCTCCAACATTGAGACAATCAGTTATAAGAGTCCATCTTCATGTTACTAAAGAACAGGTGAAATTCAGAGATGCAAGGCTCACAGCCAAAAGAAAAATACATATAAATGTCACAGTAGTAAGACGTTACAATTATATGTGTACTTTTGCAAGCAATGGGGATATAAATGGATACAAATAACTGATCTGAATTCAACTCTTCATCCATACCTTACGGAATATGGACATCCTTATCCACTCAGTTTAAACTTTGAAGTGTTGATATGGATATAGATAGTGATAAACTATCAGACATCGAGATCAATATCCAAATGTCCAGAAATATATATTTACAAGTGCGTGCAGGCACACACAATTATATATATGCAAGAGGGCATACAACTTCATAAAGAATACATCTACTTTCTGCTCCATAATGTAATCAAGGATGGTTTTAGTGGATTACATATCAAAGTTGGAGGTCCTTTCTTCAGAACACTAGTCATAGTTCGTAATATCCAATTAGTACCTGTATTTGATCCCATACCAAATTCACTTTTATCAAACAAGGATAGAGAATTCAGTATCCATACAATATCCATGTTCATATTCATACTTGCAGGAAGAAAACAAAAACATATAAGGAAATACTCATATCAGCTCCATCTCCACTCTGTTTATACCCCTAACAACAAGGGATACTTACTGCTAAAAACACGACTAATAGTAACCTAGATTCCAGTGAACTACAGAACGAAGCATAAAAGTTCAAATCCACCAATTTGTGATTCCTAACAACAAAGCGCATAAACAAAACTTCTTCATACATGCAGCGATGACTCATATCAACAACAATTTGCACATATCAATTTTCTTGAAACTACAAATATCCATTTTCTGTAACAAAGACAACAATTTGCACATTGCAATTCTCTGGAACATCTATAGGGGATATTGGGTATGAGCTAACAGCTACTTTAGCAAAATGAATTGACTAGAGATTAGAGTGGTGAGCTCCACTCGCAACAATGTGACAAGCAAGGTAGCTCTCACCACTAGATCATCTCTTGGTAGATAAACAAAAAGAACAAAGCTTTTATCCCAAATTTTTGGTTTTGGGGCGGCTAATAAACTGCCAACAGGACATCTCTTGGTACATCATTCAGTATACTAAGCTGCAAACACATACACATTTTCCACGCACGATGCACACACCCACAAACACACAGACAAACACAGCCACGAACACGAACACTTAGATACATATTAAGAAACATTAGCCAGATTTAATTGATTTGGAGACTTTCAGAAGAACTTTTAAAAACTTGAAATTGAAGAGAGTATTTTTCAGCAATGTAGTATTAATAAAACTCATAAGCATTTATTTTGGTCTAATGAGCGTTTAATTACACAGACTATAAGGCTGTTTGGACTCTATTCACTTATTGAGAATTTGTATTTACGATAATTTAGGTCAAACCTCCTGGATCAAACAATACCTTTATTATATCTGAATATATATGTGATGTCAACATCAGTCCAAGCAGAAAATTTTGCAGGCAACATACTTCATCAGAACCATAAAAGTACTACCACATAGAAAGAGCATGAGGCATCACTAAGCAGATAATAAGTTAACTCGACATCCGTGTTTTAGAAGAAAAGAATCACCACATTCCACATGAGCATACAGGGAGGAAACGAGGCAAGCTTATGTTCCACCAAATTTATTATCTTTTTCACTACTAAAACTTTAACAGTCCCTCAGCAGATATAAGCTTTGTTGTCAATAACAATAGGAAAAAGTATTATCATCAAACTTGAGCGATGGCAAAGCCTACATAGTTTTTGCATTCAGAAAGCGAAGAAAAAAACTTGAGCAACCCATCAGCTTGAAAGAAACAAAATTCTAAACTACAATTTTTAAGAGCATTACTATAAAGAACTATATTCAAATTACACCTTTACACCCTTGAGAAAAGGCTTCTACAATCTTTTGGCTAAGTTAACAACAGCATGAACAAATATAATGGCCATCCTGAGCAATCAAGCACTCAGCAAGGAACTTCTTAAAGAAATGGCAGTAAGTATCGCCATTTTGTTGAGAGAGATATTTTTCTTTCATATGTTTTAGTTATTAGCAGCATAGCAGAACTGCAGTGGAGCATAAACTCAGTATCATTCTACAATCCTTGTCTAATTGCTTATTTATTGCTTGCATTTTTCTGTCACTAAATCTGCAAATGCTAAATCTAGCAGTCACAATTGAATTTGAATTTGCCCAATGCATTCACATATATACAAATAGCTAATCCCAGTTTAAGTATCTAGTTTGCATAATTTATAAACAACTAAGTGCATCCATATTTCTGATGCATAGGTTCAGGATTAGAAGAATGGCACCCAAGCGACACACTTTAGTCGCAAGACAATAACTTTAGGCGAAAAAGTTGCAAGCACCTGTTTCAAATTATAACTAGTTTTTTTTCTGAGTTTGGGGAACTTCTAGAAGCAGCAAACACCATGATTGATAACCGACGCATCTGAAAATAAAATGGGCATTAATTAAACTAAACCCAGATTCAAATAACTTGTTGCATGCTATCTCAGAGTTGAGATGACAGGTACTACTGATCCTACCTACGTCTAGATTTTTGGCACATCAAATGCACATCTATGCAGAATAGTTGATACCTCCTACTAGAGATACTCATAACAGAAAAATAACTGTGTTTGGTCATTGTGTGTGTTTTTTCGGGGTAAATATTTATGCGCTATCCTCGGTATTTGGAGTCTGAAATAATATAATCCGTTAGTTCAAGTGGTAGAAGTTTTAACACCATAATTTTTTCCCATATCACAACTGCTTGGATGACAGCTAACATCTATAAAAGTAGCCTATGGGCACAGTAGAGGAGGAACATATAGTCATATACAATTCTTGATTGATGAAGCGTTGGAGACATGGGCTGGCATTTCTTAAAAAATTCAATCAGCAGACTTTTATAGTTTTCTTAAGACTTTTGCCCTTGGCAGGAGAATAGAACTAATTTCTCAATATAGAACACGAGAAAAGAATAAAGTTGCCAACTTGCCATGTTAACCAGTTTCGTCATTTTACTTTTTAACATGCAGCGGAACACAAGAACTTCAGTCCAATTGCAAATCCACCTTATTGGAAGGCAATAAAATAGTACAGACAATGCTTAATGAAGGATACTTTTGCATAAGCTGAACTACAACTGCCTTGCCATCAAGGACAACTGACACAGATGTTTGATTATCCAATAAGAACGATTATTTGCTGTTATCCACACATAAAACCATAATCCAGAAGAAAAAAAACCTGAAAGATGAAGGATACTGTTCTTTAACCATACTAAAACCAGCAAACATGTGAAGGATGTGTTTAAGGTTCACAATCTAAAATATTTGTTCGCATCAAACAAGAATAGCACAAGTAAATGCTGGTCAACAAACTCAAGTCTGATATATCCATGTTACCTGGGTACTTCTAACAAGAATCCGTAACCATACCCGACACTTCTGTACCCACACCCGTACCCAACCCTTCTTGGACACTCCTTATATATACGTATACATTTATTCAGATGTGTACTTAATTATACAATATGTGTTTAAATTTAAACACTCCCTATACACTCCTTGGACAAATATCCTGCATTTCACATCCAGTTTGAAACTTGATGGACTAGGATCGAGTTTCTTTCAGCCCATATTCAGTTAAGAACTATGATTACAAAGGGTCCTATGTGTATCTAGCCCAAAATTATGATTACAGTCCATGCGTTTTAGCCATGTCCCCTTACCCTACCTTTTACAAATTTGCCTAGTCCCATACTCGT